CAGCCACCCTATCACCACCTCTGAATCCCCTTCAATTATGAGTTTCTTGATGTTCAACTCCTTAGCTTTTTGGACCCCTTCCATAACTGCAAAGATCTCAGCTCTAAGGGAGTCACCCACTTCAATTGGGCCTGAGAACATGGCAGAAATGACCTCATTCTCATCCCTAAAAACACCCCCAACCCCAATCGTCCCAGATTTCCCCTACTACACCCATCAAAGTTTAATTTCAAGAATCCAACAGGTGGAGGGGTCCAAGACACACTCATTACTGGCTTGGTCTGTGTGTAATTTGCAATTTCACCCCACTTCCTCAACATGTCATCCACAGTGTAATCTGTGAATAGCTCCAACGATTTCAGCCACTGTACAACCCTAATATCTATGATAGCCCTCAGATCTGCTGCTCCTCTCTCAGCTTCTAAGAATATCCTGGAATTTCTTTCTTCCCAAAGTGTCCAACATACTGCAGCCCTTAGTCCTCTCCACATGGTCCTTCCCCTTTTTATCCGCCACCTAAAAAAGGAAGGGGAAAAAAGGCCCTGCAAGTCTGATGGAGGATTCCAGCTATATCCAAATAGGGAGAAAGCCCAATCCCAAATTGACCTTGCAAGATGGCAAGACACCAGTAGGTGAAARCCAGYCTYCCCATCCGCTTTACAAAGAACACACCAATGAGGTGACAAGCAAGTATTGGGTCTCTTCTTTTGGAATAGATCACCTGTGTTGATTCTTTCCAGATAGGCTTCCCAATAAAAACTACCAACCCTAGGAGGTATTGCTCTGCACAAAACCTCATCAACAGGGAAGGGGGGAAAGTAGGACTAGTGGACTGACTTCAAGACTTTAAAGAAAGAACCACAAGAAAAGATGCCATTGGGGGTAGGTGTCCAAATTCTAAAATCCGCCTTCTATGATATTTGAAAATTACAAGAGTGCCATATTTAATTATTTACGATTTTGCCATCCTATAAAATAAAATGCCACCCCTCTTCTCTCTCACCCAATTCTCTCTCCTCCCAAGCTCCTATTCTTTATCTCATTTTTTATTTATTCATTTATTTTTTTATTATTATCTAAGCATTTATTTATTTTATTATTATTTACAATTATGCCATCCTATAAAATAAAATGAAATCCCTCTTCTCTCTCCTCCTATTCTTGATCTCAACTTTTATTTATTTTTTATTATTATCTAAGCATTTATTTATTTAATAAAATTAAATAAATTATTTATAAATCAGTAAAATAAAGGAGATTTGACATTGAGAGAAAGATTTTAATAGAAATTTATTTATTTATTTTACTAAATTATTTATTTAATTTATTATTATTATCTAAGCATTTATTTATTTAATAAAAGTAAATAAATTATTTATAAATCAATAAAATAAAGGAGATTTAACATTGAGAGAAAGATTTTAATAGACATTTATTTTTTTTTATTATCTAAGCATTTATTTATTTAATAAAAATAAATAAATATTTATAAATCAGTAGAACAAAGGAGATTTGACATTGGGGGGTGGGGGAGACCATTGGGGTGGGGAGTGAAGGGGGGAAATATACATTAAGAGTGGGGATTTGCTGGGCCATAGGGGAGCCATGGCTCCCTGGGCTCCACTCCTAGGGTTGGGATTAAACCTATTCACAGGCCACACTAGGCTTTGCCTTTATATCAGCAAAACATATTCAGGCTTAAGCCTAAGCATGACCCGACCATCAGGCCTAGATCTTGAGCCTGAGTTTGACCCCCATATAAAGCCCCTAGCCCAACCAAGAAATTGAGAAAAAAAAAGATTTGTATTCTTTATTTAACAACAAAATTGATAATATTTATATTAAATTGACTTCAAAAGTGAAAATTTTATTTATTTATTTATTGTTTTATTTTATTAAATTAAATATATTATTATCCATAATTATTTATTTATTTAATTCAACATGCGCCCAATATTTAGGGTTGTCGATGGGTCGGGTTTAGCTCTAGATAACTTGGACCAATCATGTCCTAATAATAAATGCATATTTACTTATATAGTTTATTACATTAAATAATTGATTTATTTATTTTACAAAAATTAAGTAAATTATTATCCATAGATTTCTATTTATTTAATTTACTAAATTATTCAATTAATTAATAATTTATTTTACTAACAATTTAGGCAATGTTTTCAAAACCGGACAATCGGACCAGAAAAACCGGGAACCAGTCACTTGACCAGTTCCGTTTAAA